TATATATATAGAGTTAGCCAAAATCTTAAAACAGAAAAGTTGTTTGTCTTATTTTTACAAGCAAGACAAGCTGTGCGCAATGCGCACAGCATATTACTGCTATTATAAATGAAATCCCAAACAGGAAACAGTTTCATTCTGCTGTACCTTTGAGTGCGAGCTGCTCTGTTAGCTCCTCGGTGAGCAACAGCAGACGTTCTCTTTCAATCTCCCAATCTTCCTCCAGAGCTCTCATTTCCTCCTCATGCTGCTGACTCTTCTGAGCCAGGTCCTCCTTCAGGTTCTCCACATCCTGCTGAGCCTTCGTCAGCTCCCTTTGGTAGTTCTCCTGCAACTCGACGATCTCCTGGGAATTCCTCTCTTTATTTGCCTGCAGCTCAGCTTGAACGGTTTCCAGCTGAGCTTCTAAGCAGCGTCTGACTTCTTCTGCACTCTCTTTTGCGTCGTCATAATATGCTTTGCGCTCTTTCTCCCTTTCGCCCTCCCTCTCTCTGTCATGCTCCTCTCGCTCTTTGAGAAATTTCTGAAAATAAGCCACTTCTTCCTGGTGTTTGCTTCTGGTTTCCTCAATGCTGGACTCCAGCATTTTGATCTTCTTTTGCCGGTCCTCCAGTACACTCTCGTGCTCACTTTGCAGCACAGCTAGATCGTCCTAAGCGTAAGAAGAGGTTCAACAATCTGGCATTTATTACAGTAAAACAACTTCAAAAATACAGATAATGGTCAGTGTTCAGAAACTCTGTCCAGATTCAGTTTATAGCAATAGTTAAATATTGTATTTATGCTGTGTGCTGGAATAATTATATAACTATGTGCCTGCTCATTCCTGTTCACACTGCCTTGACCTGTTCCTAGTCTATATCTCTTTGATAACTGCCACATTTGTATAATCTGTTCTCATGATTCTTAAAGATGCCATTTGATGTCTACAGGCTATTTTACCTTGGCTTGCTGCTTAGTCTTTTCTAGATCTTTGCGTAAGAGACTAAGACATTGTTGAGATTCTGCCTTCTCCAGCAGTAAGGCATCCATTCTTTCTGTCAGCTCCTATAACACATCAACCCAACAGAAAACAGCAGCTATGAGACAGAAAAAACAGATACAGGATAAACAACTGCTATGGTATAAAAACAAACCTGCATCAAAGAGGTATCATCAGAGTTGGTGTTACTGTTTTGAGATTGCTGTTTGAGGGATTCAATTTCTTTTTCCAAATCTGAAAAGACAAAAAAAGGGGAAAAAAGTCAAAAAACTTTTGGTCAACATGCAAAAGTCAGACACAATAACCAAAACAAAGCATTTTGCAGAGACCTGTGCATCTGCTCTTCATCTTCTGCATTACAGCCATCTGCTTTTTGGCATATTTAATGAGGTCATCTTTGGACAGCGTGTCCAGCTGAGGAAACAGCATAAATAAGAGGTCCTGATGTATCTCAGTAATCCAGGTAAAAAATCAAAAATAACAAAATTGTATAGGTCTTCTGGACGGGTTCTTCTCTAATGAAACGTTTCGTCTCTCCTCCAAGAGACTTCTTCAGTCTGAGAGTTTCAGGCAAAATTCAGGCTCAGTTTCGCAGAAACTGAGACGTTTATTTTCTAAACATGATGTCCCAGTGGCTTTCAAACCCCAAAGCACATTACGGCAAAGGCT